TATTTATTAATTTATATTTTACTGGTATTTTATTTACATTAAATATTTTTGTACCAATAATTAATTATTTTAACTTTCTATTTTAAGAAAAATAAAATAAAAGATCCAATTATTATAAGGTGTTCCATTGCGGTGTACATTAGCAATGTTCTATAAAGTGTACTTTGGTGTGCAACACAAGTTTAGAACAACTTGTGGCAACATTAGCCAAAATTTGATGATATATGGTAGATGGCAAGTTGTAGTGGCATTAGCAATACCTTTAACATATAGTTTTATTGTATTAATTTAAACTTAGAACTTCTAATACAAATTGATGTGGTATTATATAACTAATTTTTTTCAATATTTATGCCACCATTTAAATATTTTTTCATTGAATATTCTTGTATTTTACATAGAATAAATTTAAATAAAATGAAATACAAAATATTACTATTCTTCTCAAGTAAATTAAATTAAAATTTATACTTTTTGTCTATTTTGATTTAGAGGTTGAGCTCCATCTAAAGATTTTAAGCATTTTCACAAAATCAAAGGAGTTTGGTGCCCTCTTTTGATTTTAATTTTTGTACTAAAATAAATATAGTAATTTAAAAGATAGATAAAAACCAATTATATTTGATGCTTTATTATAAGGTGCATTTAGAGCAACTATTAGAATTCTCTTCTACAAAAAATTTACTAGTACTTTGCAAAATAAACAACAATTCTTTAGATTTTTTTGTTTTTTTGTTTTAATTTATGCAACTATATTTTTTGTTATTTTTAATTCCAATTTCAATAATCAATGAAACATCTATAAAGTTGAAGTAGTAGCACACTATAAAAGTTAATCCAAATAATTAAATTTTGTCATTTCTAAACAAAATCGTGTAATAAGATTAAATTTTTAACTTAAAGTTTTAGTCCATCCAATACAACTATTACTTGATTATTTTAAAGATGCCAAATATACAACCATGACCTTTGCTACATGAGTCCTTTTAGCAACCATATAATTTATTTCTATGAATATTATTTAAATCTTATATAGTAATTTTCAACCATCATTAAATTATAAAATATATATTGTATATCATGACATCATCCTAGCTATGATGCTTATTTTTCTTTCATGTACTTTATGAATCCAATTGGCTACATACATGTACTAAGTGCCACATGTTTGCAAGCAACTTTGCATGATTGGAATTTTTAAATATATGAATATTAAAACATTCTACCTAAATTTTAAAGTAATCCATCTAAAGTTTAAATTGACCCATCTAAATTTTAAATTGACTCCATTGCCTAGTTTCTATGTTATTGTCACAAACCCCTTTTTCAATTGCTACTTTGTCATCATTGTTGATCCTCACTCTTTTGGCCATATCTTTTCATCTATATTTGCTTTTCTTATAATTATTCTTCTCTTGCTTTGTAGCTCACATTTCATGCTTGTTTTGTCCTTATCTATCTCTCGCTTCTTAATTGCTTTTCTTTTCTTCTTACTCTAATTTGGTGTATCATTTGTTTTGAAACTTGGCAGTTTATCACAATTTTATATTGGTGGTCCATTGGAGGTCACTTAAGAAAATTCAGAAATTTTGGTATTGTGAGAATAGTTTTAAGAGTTGGATTGCAAATCCTAAGTATAAATGTGATACAAGACCATAAGAGCAAAAGTAGATTGATTTAAGATTTCCATGTGTCAATTTAATACTCTTCTAAATAAATACTTTCATTCCCTAATACTATTGGATAGTTTGGTTGTAAAGAAAATTATGAAGAAAATAATCCAAATTTTAGTAAATGTCTTATATTTTATGTTTATAAATAATGTGTGTTTATGAATAATTTAATGTTATCACATTACAAGTGTATATATTGATGAGAATAATAAGTATATATATATATATATATAGATAGATATTTTTCTAATGCATTGAATGAGCTTGTAGATCCTTAAAATATATATTTTTTGATATGATAAAACCAACTAAGTATACATGAATATGATGCTTGTAATACTTTATCAATTTTATTATTAATTTGTATTCAGAATGTGTTCTTATTACTTTAAAGCAAGAATCAAACTCTAATACAAAAGCTTTTTTAGGACTTACAAGATCTTGTATAAAACAATTAAAGTTAAACAACATTAGACAATCTATTAAGTTTCTATTTTTTGAAAAAATAATTAGATTCAAATTAAGTAAAGTGCCAAAATTTAAATTTCAGATAGAATCTGTTAATTTTTTTATAAAATATATTTTCTAACATTGTGTAAATAATCCCATTGTTAATTTAAAAATTCAGAATACAAGGATTATCCATGTGTAAAATTTGAGTTTATTGTGTATATATATATTTGAAAAACACAAATAACTTTTATTATGCCTATCATTGTATAGTCAATTTTAATCGCATTGTATAAATAGTTTTTTGAGCTCATTGTAAAATGATTGTTGGTACTACAATGGTACACCATTCAAACAAATTATAAGTTATTATGGTTGATTTTGGCAATTCTTTCAAGAGCACTAACACTATTTTTGAAATGATTATTTATGAATGAGAAATCATTGTTGAGTCTTCGAACAATAAAAAAATCAATAAGTAAATAAAACAATAATTACTCATCAACGTGAGTATACGAACCTTTTGACTTTCTCAACAAAGTCAAAGTCAAAAGTAAAACATGTCTTTGCGGATTCTGCAACTTGAAATCCATAGAAAAAAAAACACACAAACACAAAAAAAAAAAAAAAAAAAAAAAAAAAAAGAATTACACGCACAAATCGACTCTCTGTTCACAAATTTGCATTAGAAATAACTTGGATACTGAACACAGTGAGACACAACAGAAGCATGAACAAACGACCACCGAAACTCTTCGACCTTCCACGCAAGTAACTTCGAAGGCTCAGAAACAAGTCTCGACACGGTGATCGTCGCAACGATCGACGCCGCGGGGATGGAGGGAGGGGGGATGCAAAGCGCGGCACAGGAAGAATGACTGCGGCGTCATGGATCGAGGCCAGGCAAGCCTCTCACTTGGCCTAGGTCCTATGCGACGTGAAGTGGTCACCGTGTGGTCCGTCTTTCCAATCGATGGGTCCTTCGAAAACGGGTCCCGGAAGATGGTTCGACAGGCTTAGAATCACATCGCAAGGGGCATAAGTTAGCAAGCCTCGTGGTTGTGCGGCATTGTTGGGTGGAGAGCGAGCGAGGTTCCAACAGGATTTTTGTGGTGTTGTATCGAACATTTTTGGCTAAAGCCATTGTCTCCAAGGAATCTTCAATATCTTTTTTTTGAAAATTGGGGCAAATTTGCTACGCTGTGCTTTTTTTTTTAATATCAAAGCCGGTTCGCTCAATCCGTGCCCCGATTCCGCCATAGTTCCGAGCTCGGCGAGCTCGGTGATCTCCGGGAGCTTTTGACGACGATGACTTCGCCCTTGCTTGTTGGATGAGCCGCTGCGTCAGAGGATTATAACTGTCAATGATGTTGTGATGGATGTGGATGAAAATTAGGATGTCATTGGGAACTTTCATTTATTTGGATGGATGGTTTATAGTGGGTGCAAATCTCTTAATTAAATGGAGATTTCTATATTTTAATGAAGAATGAGTTATGCCAAGGCTTTGGTAACATGAAAACATTATAACTAGCTGTACAATAGGATGCATACTTGTGGAATATATATGATGTCTTTGTTTGATATAAATTCTAATTCATTTGGTCAACTTGTCCTTAATAAAGTCATTACTCATAATCATAGAAATGATATCCAAGTTGCATTGGCCAATAAAGCATTTAAGTAAAAAGGTCATTTTAACTTAATCATTTATTCTCTTATTGAAACTTACACCTTTATTCTTACAAACACAATTGATTAACACACTTAATTGTAATTCCAATAATGAAACTCAATATTAACCATACCAACACTGTAATTGTTTACAGCCACTATACAATTTTATGTTATTCTTTGCATGGACCACATGTTGCTTGCATAGAATGCTTTTAAACCTATCTGAGGTCATGATTTTGCTGTCCAAAATATAAATGATACAAATCATTAGTTTATTACAATAAATCTGATTCACACTCAATTTTATGAACAAAATAATTATAAAAAAATTCAAAATGATTTTAGAATGTAATTACGAAAAATGTCCCATTTTTAGTTAAAAACATACATCAATATATTTTTGAGTAATTTAAAATAAATAGTTTAATTTATAAATAATTTAAGAAATTTCATATTATTATGTTTAATATATGATCAAAATATAAACTACAAATACATATATTTTTTTCTATCTTACTCATTTGATAAATCTAATAAGTATATATATATATATATATATATATATATATAGTATTAATGCAACAACCTCAAGTTGTTAAAATGATACCCTCTAATAATTTTGAAGCCGATTATTGGGGTGTCAATTTAACTTCTTGAGGGTGTTGCATTAACAATGTCATATATAATCATTCATTAATTTGGAGCAATTATGAATAAGTCTTCATAAAAGATTCCACAATTTTAGAAATTTCTAGTTAGCACAAAATGCCAAGGTAAATATCCTCAATAAAAAGAAATAGTTTTATCAAATCTGAATGATTGAGAATCAACATGAGTGAAGTTTGAGAGCACCTTGCTCTTTAGTAATTGTTTTCACTGTCATATGTAAGATTAGACATAGTATTTAATTACCAATTATGTCAGGAATCCAACAATGCATCTCCAATACTTAAAAATTTACACAAACAAAAATACATAGAAAATCATCGTTCTTTCACATGTCTAGTGCTATTACAATGGAAAAAGATTTTGTATCATTCAGTTTATATTTGAAAATGATCAGGTGTTTGTTCATTGTCGATTTGAAAATCCAGTTGATGTCACCTGCGCTACTCTCTTGAGAGGCAACGAAGTGGGCTATCAATGCATCAACTCAATAGATCACACATCCTAACAAGACCATATTTTATAATGCTAAGCTCTGTACCAAGAACCCTTACAAGAGTTCACTTCATTCTCCTGAATCTCACAAAATGTCCAGGATTGTTGTCATTGCCAGGTCTAGGTACATAGTGATATGATGAAACCACTTCAGATTGAATGGCTATTTTAAGTAATGTGATAGAAAAATAATTGTAGAAATTCCTGCTGAGGTCAATGACCTACTCGCACTAACTTGTATACAAACCTAAGCACCGCCTCCGCTACCTGGAACTCCAGTTCTATGCCTGAGCCATTTATGAATGTCATCAAGTCTCAAATCGCTCAACCTGTTTTCCATGCTCAATAAAGAACGCAAATTTTGAGGACCAGTTGAGTGAGGAATAGTTTCAGGGAGCTTCGGTGCCAAATTGGTGGCAGATTCAAGCTTTCCCAACCCCCGACCTACCACATATGTATAACCAACACTCCTGTTCAACAACGATTTACATCCTTGATCAGGAACATCCCTGATAGCTGGTGTAACTGGACTAGTCTGCACCGCGGGGCATGCCACTGCCTTTTTCCTCACTTTTTTCTTGAGCTCCGCGGGATTTGACTTCTCTGGACGAGACTCCCCATCCACGTTCTGAAAAACATACACAATGAGATTGAGATTTGAAGGTTCGACCTCATTAATCCAATGGTTATAACAATGTTCAAGCTATAAATAGGTAAAATTTCAACCAGATGAGCTACAGAATAGATAACACACAGTAAATGCCAAGCAAGAATCTCAAACGGCGTTATTACGTTTGTCCTACTATATGAACGGGAGCAAAGTTGAAAACTAAAACGTTGACCGCAATGGTTGCAAACTTCAGACTTCATAAATCCACATCAACTCAAAGCAAAGAATACGAAAAAGGTCAAGTAAAGATGACAGTAAGAACTCTAACGAATGTGCATTGTTTCGATGTCGAACTACCTTATTGTCATCAAGACCATATACGATAAGGAAGAGATACATGACAACACAACCGAAACAGCTCGTCCTGAAAGGAACTAATTTCTTTAATTTAGGAAAAAAGAAACAGGAATTCCAGATTCTGAAATCGACCGTGCCCCGAAGAACTGCAAAGTAAAAAATACGTACCCAACCAGGACGGGGTTTCGGCCAAAAGGCTGCTTCAATGTAATCTGCAAACAGGAACAACGGTAGCGCGAATCTGCAAACAGATACATGGTCAGGTCGCTATAAGTGACTTTAGTCTCACTTCAAAGTATTGATGCGACTACACCAAATCCTACAATTCTGTCGGTCCCTAAGTTTTCCAATCACAAAAAATAGTGAGAAGAGCAATACCGATGTGTAAGGAAAAGGAATCAAAGATGCATACACACATTGAGTCACCACGGTGACAACTAGGAATACTGACAAGACAACTCATGCTCAAAACAAGCAGGATCTTCAGAAACTAATTTTTTTTTACAACTGAGCAATCTCATTAGGTTGAGCACGCTTCAATACGTGGCATTCATTGGATGCACGTGCTTTCGTTCATTCAACCTGTATAGAAGGAAACAAACTTAGTTCCATGAGAGAGACATGTACCCAAAAAAGATAGTGTTGATAAGTTTCTCCTTTTGCTCAGCAGCAGAATACTCGGATTCATATCTCCATCGTTGTCCTGAACTCCGATCGTATGCAGACCTAGCTTGTGCGCTTCCATACGTAGTATAACCTTGATTAGAGCGTCTGTAATAGCGGCGTCTAGGAGGTCCCTCGTATCTGAAAGTATTACCATTCTTATTTAAAGACCTAAAAATGAAAAATATGTGAAGGAAATATGAATTTACATAGTATCTAACTGTTATTCCATCGCCCAAGAAGAGTAAGATAGGAGTACAAGCGAGAATTCTACATATAATAGAATCCGTGTATCATTTCGTGTTCCTCTCGACACGATAGAAGAATCCAAACAAATTTTGATCTAATTGCTGCGTGAATGGAACAATACCTGCGTCAATGAATGTAAACAAAGTGTCCAAGGGTAACCATACAAATGCAAGTAAAAGAACATGTACTGTAGCCTCTACCATCCAGCTACTGAATAAGAAAAGTCCATGACGAAATTTGGCACATATCAACATGTCAAGCAAATATAGACTGTAAGCAATAGCCTCCATTAAAATATACACAAGACATAGCACAAGGAAAATTAAAGATGGAAATGAGATGGACAACCTCCTAGAAGGTCCAGAGCCTTGATTTCCAACGTTGTATGCACCCTTATTGTACGCAATCCTCTTCAAGTTGTCACCCAGCACATCATACGCCTCGGAGACCTGCCTGAACCTCCGTCCTGCAGATTCCTGAGATTGGATTGATTCCTGAGCATGCCTGTCAGGGTGGCATTCAAGCGCAAGTTTCCGAAAGGCTTGCTTAATTTCATTCGCAGTTGCATCCCTTGCAACCCCGAGCACCTTGTAATAATCAATCTTCATACCCTTCTCCTCATAGAATTCCCTAATCTGACCTTAACGACTCTTCCTCCCCTCTGCGCACCGCCCTAACAAACATCGATTCTTCAGTTATGTCATTTCATTCTTTGCACCTCCCAGCCGTCACCGCCAATGTCACCCCCTCATATTCCAATTCGTCCCCACCTCCACGTCGCACATTCAAAAACCCTAAATTCAACCCTTCACCTAACGTCTTCACAAATCACCAGAAACCACCCTCTCTCTCTCGCTCTCATTCAAACCCTCACAATCCGGGTCCACATTCCGAAATTCATCTTCCACACGCTACCGCAACCAATTCAAAGTTCGAACTCTAGCTCTTCAAAGGCTCACCAACACATCCCCAAACCAAAACCTCACGTCCGGCCTTTCTCTCTCGCATACAGCAACCCCAGCTCGCAACTGGAATGCGCGACGAAACACTTCAATCAGTGAACTACACTGCACTGCATCAAACCTCATCACCAAAGCAGGGTACCAAAGCTCCCCCGACTTCACATTTCACCAGAATTCATGCAAACCCAACATTACCCAACCGTGACAACCAAATCGGAGAAATGGGTTTTGTTCGTCATTGTTGGAATTCAAAAGAAATAGAGGCATAATTAGCTAAGAGAGTGCAACTGGGGGCGGTGAAGCACGGAAGGGGACGGGAGGGCAGACGCCCCCATGAGGGCGAAGGAACACGTCGCCGCCAGCTTAGAAGGTTCTTCTGTGGCAACGGGCCTGCACGCGTGGCACAGTATTTGACCCAACCCTGTCTGGCCGCGCTTGCAAGGGAGCAGGAACTGTACCGATCCTCTCCCCGACTTGCTCCCCCATGCATCCCCATCGTTCATTCTTTACCCTAATTAGTAAGTAACTAGTTCGACATGGTAACAACATATTTACCAAAATCAGGTCGTGGTTTACGTGAGGGAGTGAGGATCCAAGAAGCTTTTGTTGTCATTTCTTCATTGATCTAATGCATTGCATACACCCCATTTTGCATTAATATAAGTAAGGGAATGTTAAATAAACCCAAGCTTTTACTAAATTGATCCACCCATCCTAACCATCATAAAGGAAAAAAGAAAGAAAGAAAAGACTTCTACATTCATTTTTCCTCGATTGTATCCAAAACCAATGAAAACTAACCACATTCATCATGATTACTATATTCTTCATCATAGGTAGGTCAATTTCATAAAAATTTGGATCTATTTAATATTCCCCTACAAGTAAGTCATTAAATAAATAAATAAACAAACAATTTCAAAATGATGAAATGTTGTAGATTTATAGAAGTAAGCTTTCACAAGTTATTACTATAAATTTTAGATTTCTTTTCAAATCTAGTATTTATTTTTTTTAGCAACTGGAATAAGTAAAGAGAGTAGAAGAGAAGATAAAAATCAATATAAAACAAATGAAAATGTCAATATGGTGTATATTAGTATCTTTATATGTCGAATTTTTATGATAAAGTAAAAAAAAGTGACTATATTCCAATTCTAAAATAGCAACCAAAATTAAGTCATAAAATCTTTGTAAAATTATATTCAAATAAATTTTTATTTATTACTTTGTAGATTTTTTTTATTTTTTATTTTTTATTTTTTTATATTATATAGTTTGTAAGTATGTGCATTTGTAATGAATATAACATATTTTTATTTATGATTAAGTATATTTAACATTCTAACATGGATTTTTTTCATTGCCAAATTTATTTCATATTTTTACATACAAAATATTCTTTAAATTCTTTTATCATTATTAGAGCTAAAATTATCACTTGGTTGTATGTAATGTAGTCAAATTCAAATAATTTAACTAATACTTCAATGGACTTGGTAATCAAACATCTTAATTTTTTCTTCTAAACTTCGGATGCTATGATAGTAGTTGAAGAATATTTTGGTGTATTTTTTGCAATATTTTTTAATATATATATATATATATATATATATATATATGACTAATGATGACTATTGATTACTTTCATTACTAATTTTTATCCTTTAAATTTAAGAATTATTTTAAAAATCATGACAATTAAAAAATAATAGATATGTATATATATAATATTTTTATATATTTATAATTGAAAAGACAACATTATTTATTAATTCAAAAGGTTATGCAAAAAGACAAGAAGATTTTTATATTTATATATATTTTAAAAAATAAATTCTAAGTTGGTAGCTAATATAAAAATATTATAATTTTTGGTGTTGATATTGTAAACTTGACAAGCATGTTTTTGATTTCTTAAAAAATTATTAATCTTATAGTTGGATCTTTTTATTATAAATAAAATTTTTTTTAACAAAAATTATTATATTTTACTTATTTTAAAAGAAAAAAAAGTCAAAATTGCATCAATTTTTATATATTTGATTTATTTATATATATATTTTTGGATATTTTTAAAATAAAAAAGTTACATCTTTATATAAAATAGATTCTATTTGATTTTCTTGTTATACTTTAAGCATACATTGATTACAAATAATGGCTTGAGATGTTAGTCTTTTTTTTAAAATTTTGACTATTGACATTCTTTTCAATGAGTTTTTAATATCATTCTTTAAGCTGAAACAAAAATATTTATTATGGTTTATCAATCTATTCTAGATCAAATTTTTTTGACTTTAATTAATATAAATTGTAATCCAACATAGTCATTTCAATCAATCCACCTAAAACTTAAATAAATTTATTTTGAAAAAAATACAAATAGCTATTAAATATTGTTATAATTAGATGTTTCTAAAAACTTTTCTTCTTATAATATCTTTCATGCTAGCTCTTCTTAATGAATCACCTTTGATACATGTCTTGGACATACATAGGTATTCTAATAAATAGTTATATGATTAGATAGGAATAGGTAAAAGTAGATAAAAATAGGTTAATTTCATAAGATCTTTTAGAGAAGCTTCTTAGACACTGTTTGACTTTACATATGTTTCTACTTAATTGATAGCTTAAAAACTTAGACAACAAGTTAATCACATATTGGTAGCTTGTTGTGAGTCATCAAATTGACCCACTCGTTGTTTTAGGATAAAAATATGTATTTAGAATGCTTTAAATCATAATATATAATAAGTAGTGTAGAAATCCTTTGAGAAATAGAAAATTAGAATATTAATAGTGGAGATGGAGTCTTATTAAGTCTTGGAGGCAATTATCTTTGTTGATTTAATATTTTTATTCATTATTGAGTATTAAAAATTATTTATTAAGACCAATATTTATGTTGATCTTCTATCTATATGCACTATTTATAAAAACTATAAATGTTAGTAGTTAGAAGAAGCATGAGAAAGAACCTCATATTATTTTAGTTATTGATATAAAAAATAGGATTTATAGTAGATTTAAATTGATGTTTATTATTATCAAAAATCACGAAGGTAAAAAAATGTAGCCTTAAATGGATATTAGCATTATAGAAATATTATAGGATTTTTCAGAATTTATTTAGAATTTATTTAGAATTTATTTAGAATTTTTTAGGAATTTTTAGAGCAATGTTTAAGATCTTAGTAAAAATGAGTTTTACCACTTCAAGAGCCATTATGAAGAAAGGGAGTAAGATTTGAAGACCACATTAAGTTCCCAAGCGAATTAGATGTTTTTAAACACCATGGTGTAGTCAAAAATATAAAAAAATGAGTTTTACTAGTAGAAAATAGGAGGACCAGCAGCTAGTCTAGTCCTTATAGGAAAGAAGGTGTACAAGTTCCATATGGGTTGTAGTACCTTGGGTATAGGTAGAAAGATAAGACTAAGGCCTCAAGGCCTCTTTAGAAAAACTGATATACACTACATGTGAGCCTTGGTGAGGCTCGAATCCTTGATCTATAAGCAAGTTATGCTTGAGGTAAAATATTTTCACTTAACTCGGATTTACATATATTTTATATCATTGGAAAGCTTAAAAAATTAAATTCCTAAAAATATATTCTTTATTTTTATTTTTTTATTTTTTTACTTTTTTACTTTTTATGGAGTGAAAACTTTGTAGACAGATTGAGATTAAGTTTTGGAGTGTGTATTTGCTTATATACATTCTTTTCACTTATTTGTATTGTTTCTTCTTTTGTTCTTGTTCATTGCATCTTTCACTTCACACTACCCATTATAAGCAACTCTTAATTGAGGCCATCTTATAATTTGGATAGAAGGGTGAAATTTATATTCACACTTGCAAAACAAGCTAACTATGTGGTATTGTCATGGACATATACATTTACCTCAATAATTACTTATATGATAAGGTAGAAGTATAAAAATATAGATTAATTTCATAAAGTCTTCTAAAAAATCTTCTTGGAAGCTTTTTAGAAGCGGTTTTGATTTTAGATGTGTTTGTAGGTTGGAAACTTGGCTAACAAGTTAACTCTATATAGAAGCTTGTAGAACAAGCTAACCATGTGATACATACATAGATAACTTGCCTTGTAAGTTAAGACATGTGGCTAGTAAAGTCAACATATTTTGGAGGTCCTATAGGATATCGCCATATAGTTCTTAGCTAAGATTATATATGGAGGCAAGAGTGAAGCCTTCTTTATTCTTGTCAACACCATTCTAGTATTTAGTCTTATTTCCACACTTTCTAGTCTTCTTATTTTTGAAAATAGCTATTCCAGTTAATATTCTTTTACTTTTTGAGTGACTTTCTAGTTTTTTTCAATGTATCAAGGATTCTCTTTCTTCAAGATTCATCTCCTTGACAATTTGATAAGAGTGCTAACATACTATTTATATCTTATTTTAGAAATAAATGGATTATCCCACTTCTATTGTTGTATTTTGAAGGTTATAAACTATCCATGTTTAAATAAAAAATCTTTTTTCAAACATTGATGTTTTCTTTAAAGAGAGTGGATTATCCCTCTTTGTGGAAATTTTTATTAGAAGTTGAAGATTATTGTCATCTAATTTAACTTTTTGGATTTCTTTGAGTTGTCTATGGAAAGAAAGATTATGGATGCTACTCCTAGCAAAAGTAAGAATAGATTTATAACTATTACAGATCTTCATGAACTTGTCAACACTCTTAAAGTAAAAATCTCATGTATTTCTAACGTGAATCATGGAAGTACTATGCCTATACCTATGAAAGAATTTCAAAGTTTGTGGCAAGAAGTTGTGTAATTAAAAGAAGCAAGTAGATTGACCGCTTAACCAAATCCAAGGAATTTTACTTTTACAAGTATGATGAAGACAATAATTAATATGCTTAAGAAGTTTGATAGAACAAGATCAAAATTTTGAAGATTTTTGCAACATGTTAAGCTCTATCCAAGGTTGCACATTTTCTAATATCTAGATGGATTTACTCAAGTTAAATTCATAGGTATATTTTTATTACGATATCATCTTTTTTGATTTGTATCTTTCATAGAAAAAAATTTGTAACTACTGTAATTGTCGTTTTACTTATTCTATAATTCTCTCCAGAATAAACTTGTATAGGGGAATTCAAACATAGGGAAAGACTAAGCACATGAGTTTCACTTGTTAGGGTCATACAATTAATTATATTCCAAACCACTAAAATACTAAGAAATACTACAATACTTCCTCCCAATAACAATACTCCTTCATCAATTGATAACCACAATGTGCAACCCTGCACTCTCAAAAGACCACTCAAAATTCAATAAATTCCATCCAACACCAAAAATAATACACTTCAC